GGTCTTGCTCTTGCTCAGGCTGGTTTCGAACTCCTGAGCTCAAACAATCCGCCCACCTCGGCCTCCCAGAGAGCTAGGATTACAGGCGTGAGCGACCACGCCCGGCCTCGGTATAGTTTTGATTTGCATTTTCCTAGTGATTAGTGATGAGCATCTTTTTATGTGCTTATTAGCCATTTATTTATTGTTCTTGAAGAAATGTCTATTCAAGTCCCTTGCCTTTGAATTGGATTGCTTTTTATTGTTACTGAGTTTTAGGAGTTCTCTGTATATTCTGGATATTAATCCGTTGGCACTGTGGTCCCCAACTCCCGCACTGCAGACCAGTATGGGTCAGTGGCCTGTTAGGAACTGGGCCACACAGCAGAGGTGTGGGGGGTGCTATCCAGGGAGCGAGTGAAGCTTCATCTGTATTTACAGCCGCTCCCCATTGGTGCATCACTGTGTGAGCTCCGCTGCCTGTCAGATCAGCACAGGCATTAGATTCTTAAAGGAGCGCCAAACCTGCTGTAAACCACGTTGTGAGGGATCTATTAATAGGTTGCGGCTCCTTATGAGAATCCAATGCTTGATGATCTGGGGTGGAGCTGAGGCGGTGATGCTGGCGCTGGGGAGCAGCTGCAAATACAGATCTTCATTAGCAGAGAGGATCGACTGCACAGTAAATGTAACGCTCTTGAATCATCCCAAACCATTCCCTACTGCTCCCCGCCCACCTCAGGGAAAAATTGTCTTCCATGAAACCAGTCCCTGATGCCAAAAATGTTGGGGACCACTGTCCTAGCAGACAGATGGTTTGCAAATATTTTCTCCTATTCGGTGAGTTGTCTTTTGACTCTATTGATAGTGGCTTTTGAAGCAAAGAATTTTAAAATTTTCATGAAGTCCAGTTTGTCTACTTTTTTTTTCTTTTGTTGTGTGTGTCTTTGGTGTCATATCATGAAATGATTGTCAAATCCAATCTTGTGAATCTTTTGCCCTAGGTTTCCTTCTAAGAGTTTTATAGTTTTTGGTCTTACATTTAGGTCTTTGATACGTTTTGAGTTCATTTTTGAAAATTGTGTTAGGTAAAGGTCCAACTTTGTTCTTTTGCACATGAATATCCAGTTCTCCCATTACCATATGTTAAAAATGCTGTCGCTTCCCTGTTGAATGGTCTTGGCTCTCTTACCAAAAATCATTTGACCATATATGTAAGGGTTTATTTCTGAGTTCCTTATTCTATTTTGTTGGTCTGTCTGTGTATTTTTATGTCAATATCTCATTCTTTTGATTACTGTAGCTCTGTAGTAAGTTTTGAAATCAGGAAGTGTGAGATCTATAGCTTTATTCTTTTCAAGATTGTTTTGGCTATTTGTGATCCCTTGAGATTCCATATGAATTTTAGGATGGGTTTTTCTATTTCTGCAGAAAACTTTCCTAGGATTTTGATAGCAATTGCATTGAATCTGCAGATCACTTTGGATAGTATGTACATCTTAATATTAAATCTTACGATCATTGAACATAGGATGTATTTCCATTTATTTATATCTCCTTTAATTTCTTTTAGCAATGTTTTGTGGTTTTCATTTTATAAGTCTTTCACCTCCTTGGTTAATTCCCAAGTAGTTTATTCTTTTTGATGCTATTTTAAGTGGAATTCTTTTCTTAATTTCCTTTTCAGATTGTTCATTGTTAGTGTTTAAAAATGCAAATGATTTTCGTGTATTTACTTCATATGCTGCTGTTTTGCTGAATTCATTTATTAGTGTCTAACAGTTTTTTTTTTTGTGGTGGAATCTTTAACGTTCTCAACATATAAAATCATATCATCTGCAGATAGAGATATTGAATAATTTTACTTCCTCTTTTCCAATTTGGATGACTTTTATTTCTTTTTCTTGCCTAAGCACTCTAGCTAGAACTTCGAGCACGGCGTTGAATGGAAGTGGTGAATGCAGGCATCCTTGCCTTGTTCCTCATCTTAGAGGAAAAGCTTTCTCGGTCTTTCACCACTGAGTATGATGTTAGCTGTGGGCTTTTCATATATGCCTTTTATTATGTTGAGGTAATTTCCTTCTCTTTCTAGTTTGTTGAGTGTTTTTATCATGGAAGGGTGTTGAATTTTGTCATTGCTTTTTCTGCATCAACTGAGATGATCATAATGGTTTTTCTCTTCATTCTGTTAATATGGTGTATTACACTGATAGATTTTCATATATTGAACCATCTTCAAATCCCACTAGGTCACAGTATACAATCCTGTTATTATGTTGCTGAATTTAGTTTGCTAGTATTTTGTTGAGGATTTTTGTATCAGTGTTCATCAGAGATACTGACCTGTAGTTTTCTTTTTTTTTAATGTCTTTATCTGGCTGTGGTATCAGGGTAATGTTGACCTCATAGAATGAGTTAGGGAGTGTTCCCTCCCCTTTAATTTTTTTTTAGAAGTTTGAGAAGTATTAGTGTTAGTTCTTCTTTAAATGCTTGATAGAATTCATCAGTGAAGCCATCAGGTCCAGGGCTTTTTTTGGTCAGAGGTTTTCGATTACTGATTCAATCTCCTTACTACTTAGAGGGCTATTCAGATTTTCTATTTCTTTGTGATTTAATCTTGGTAGGTTTTGGATATCTGGGAATTTGTCCATTTCATCTAGGTTATCCAATTTGTTATTGTAAAATTATTTACAGTATTCCATTATAATTATTTTTTTCTATAGAATTG